TGCTCCCATGCAGCGGCTCACTCTCTTTCGGCCTAATAACTTTTTGTGTACTGCGTTCACATACCATCGAGGAAAATCTCACCCATCAAAAGTGTACAATATCCCCATCAGGTAAGATGCTCAAATCGAAACTGCAATGAATATCACTTATCCTCCAGTGAGAATGCCCTTATCAAAAAGTCCCAAACACTAAATCCTGGCGTGGATGCCGAGAGAAGAGAACACTCCTACGCGCAAACGATTCAACGTCTGGAAATGCAATTAGGAATACCCTTGAAAGAGCATACAAGTACGATCTCTACACATTGATCCAGCATTCCACTACTGGGCATCTACCCAAAACATCAAACAGTCCACTCTACGAAAAAGCGACATCTGCTTCAAATGTATAAGCCACACAATTCCAATTGCCAAAGTTCGTGGAAACAACCCAAAGTGCCCCATGCAATACCTGAGTGGGATTAATAAAATGTGGTATAATGTCACTCACATGGAGCTACTCATCTCACTACGCGCTTAAAACAATGGTGACAGCCTCTCTACTGTATTTTCTCCTGACTATGCAAGCTGGAACCCATTTTACTCAAGGTGAAATACGTCCTCAAGAATGGAAAACAAGCCACACCCTCATGTATTCACCAGCCAATTCCGGTATAACAATCAATCCCAAGGCGGACATATAATTTACAATACACCATTTATTGGGTGTCGGCGCAGCGAGTAGGCGGGCGGCGAGAAGGCGACTGTGGCTTACTATACAAACATAGAATCCGCGAGACGCTGTGCAACGCTCGTTTGGGGATGGTCACGCTTGAAGCTCTGACTCATGGGGGAGGGGAGACATGGGCAATATACATAACCTTAACATTTGTACTCCCATAATATGCTGAAATAAAAAAAAAAGACTGTCTCAAAAAAATAAAAGACAAAAAACATTTCCTTAAACAAAAGAAAACTTCAGGAAAGCTGAAAACTTGGTTAACCAATGTTTTGTAGCTAAGATACGCCAATTATGGTACAGTAGTTTATCATTCAGGTAGCATCTAGTTTGTTTGAAAATTAGATTAGAACCATGATTTTAATCACTTGTGTAAATAAATAAATAAAAGTGTACAATTCAGTGGTTTTAAGGTGGTACAACCGTTACCACTATCTAGTTCCAGAACATTTTCATCACCCCATTGAGAAACTGTAAGCCACTTTTTTTTTTTTTTTTTTTTTTTTTGAGACAGAGTCTCACTCTGTTGCCTGGGCTAGAGTGCGTGCCATGGCGTCAGCCTAGCTCACAGCAACCTCAAACTCCTGGGCTCAAGCAATCCTCCTGCCTCAGCCTCCCGAGTAGCTGGGACTACAGGCATGCACCACCATGCCCATAAGCCACTTTCTATTTCTGTGAATTTGCTTATTCTGGATATTTCATATAAATGGAATCATATAAAGTGCGGCCTTTTGTGCCTGCCTTTCACTTCATGTAAGGTTTTTCAAAGTTCATCCATGTTGTAGCATGTATCAGACTTTGTTTCTTTTTAAGACCATATAATTCTGTTGTGTGGATAGACCACATTTGTTTACCCATTCATCAGCTGATGGGCATTGGGTTGTTTCTCCCTTTTGGCTTTTCTGAATTGTGCTGCTCTGAACACTTGTGTACAGGATTTTGTGTGGATGTATGTTTTTATTTCTCTTGGGTATATACCCTGCTGGGGTCATGTGGCAACATATGTTCAAACTTCTGAAGAACTGCCAGACTGCTTTCCAAAGTGGCTGCGCTATTTTATAATATATTCCACCAGCAATACTTGAGGGCCCCTATTCGTTCACATCCTTGCCAGCACTTGTTATTGTCCATCTCTTTGCTTACAGCCATCCTAGTAGGTGTGAAATGGCATCTGGTTGTGGTTTCGAGTTGCATTTCCCTAATGACTAATGATGTTGAGTAGCTTTTCGTGGGCTTATTGGCCATTTGTAGATCTTCCTGGAGGGAAAGTCTATTCAAATCCTTTGCCCATTTTTAAATTGGGTTATTTGTCTTTTTATGGTGGAGTTGTAATCGTCTGATCCTTTTCTGCCATCTGCCCAAATCCTCCCCATTCTGGAGAACAGCAGGCACATGGCAGGAGCCCTCCTCCCCTCTCCTCTCTTTAAGAACACCATCCTCCCCCTCCCCCAAGGGCTCCCAGACTGACCAAAGGCTCCCGGCACGGGCCCCTGCCCCTCCCAGGAGAACAACAGCACCCAGCTGTAGTAAGAGCTTTAGAGCTCACCAGGCTTTCATTGCATTTAATTCTTACAAAAACCCAGTGGGACAAATATTACAATTATCCCCAGTTTCTGGTGTGAAAGCTCAATGAGGTAAAGTCATTCGGGAGGAAGTAGACCCTCTAGGCTTCCTTCGACGCCCACCCAACTTGAACGACTGCTCCATACGCCCGCAACCCAGCAACATGGCAGTGAGTCCCGGTGGACACCCAGCCCCCCAGGGACAGCCTGGCTCACCTCCTTCACCCGCTGCAGCATGGGCTGCAGCCACTCAGTGTTCACTTCACAGTGGCTATCCAGGAAGGTCAGGATGGCAGCTGCGGCCACATCTGCCCCTCGAACTCGGGACCGAATCAGCCCTGTAGTAGAGCAGATAGGAGTTGGTGCTGGGACCGAGCCATTTTCTTCCCAACCATCCCCTCAAAGTCCCAGGGCTGCCTCTCTGCCCCGTCAGGTTTCCTATGACTTATTGTGATTGGGCTTGACTTTGTACTTCTGCTTGTTTCCTCCCTGCCTCCCTGTCTTCTTCTCATCCGTCCATCCACCATCATCCCCCCAGGGTCATTCCCTGAGTCCCTCCACGTGCCAGACACTCTCCGGGCTCTGGGGACACACTGATGAACAGTCACAGTTTAGCGAGTGGGAAGTGCAGTAAAGTGTGCATAAAGTGTGCAATAAAGCCCACCACAATGTGTGGCATGGAGAGAATCTTCCGGACTAAGACAGACTTGAGTTTGCATGCCAGCCCCTTTGCTCACCTTGAGCGCATCGTGTAACCTCTCTGAGCCTCAAGACCCAGAGAGACAACAGTCCCTGCCTGTCAGGATCAAACGAGACCACAGGGAGAGAGCCTGGTGCCTGGAGACCCACAGGCGTCAGATTCTGCTCTTCTGCCCCCAGTTCCCGGCAGTCCCCAACTGCTCACTGGCCGGCAAAGAACGGCCTTGTTTTGGGCAGCTCTCTGCTCAGGGCCGGGGGCCTGCCGGTCAGGAGAGAGGAGGCCCTGCTGGCCCACCCCTGCCAGAGCACCCCTCCCTGCCCTGAGCGCCGTGCAGAGGGAAGGGCCTCCCTCTCAGGGCTCCAAGGACAAGCAGCTCCTTGGAGAGATTTCCTAGCCACACCTCTGCTTCACACTCTGCCCATGTCTATCCACGAGCCAGCCAGCCAGCCCAAAGCCCATCAGTCCCATCCTGCCACTCCACAGGTATCTATAAATTTACATTTACCTAGCCATAAACTTACATTTACTGTTGGCAAAATGCAAGGACAGCATATCCCCATGCCTGAGGGTACCTACAACCTAGTGGCTTGAGACACATTTCTGTTTGGTCACTTGCATTCCAGCTCGAAGGTTTCCTTACCAGTATCCTCCTGGCCCATGGCCTGACTTGGCTTTCTTAAATGCATCTATCACATCACTCTCTCACTCTAAAACCTTCAATGGCTCCCACTATCTGCCTTATCAAGTCTAAAAGCTTTCTTCCGGTTTCCAAGGTCTTCTGTCCTCTCCGTTCATGCCACCATTCCCCCTGCTGACCAGGCTGGGTTCTCACAGGAAGGGCATATAAGGAGAGGGAGGGTAAGAGGCTGGGTTTTGGGTGGGGTCCCCAGGATGCAATCCTGTCTTCTCTATTCATCCATCACTCTGGACAAACCACTGAACCTCCTTAAACCCCAGTTTCCTCATCTGCAAAGCAGGCACAGTGGGCAGTACCGAGGACTGAACGTGAACGTGAGCATGTAGCCAAGGCAATGCCGCAGGGAGGAGCCCTCAGGAGGAGGGGCTGTCAGTGTTAAGGTTCCCGTCCCTGACGGATGCCTTTGCCGGCAGAGTTGCCGAGCCAGGCGTGCCCTCCCGTGCTCCCCTTCACCTGTCTCCCGACACCCCCACCCCCGTGGAGGCCCACTCCTCCTCAGAAGCTCCCCTGCTCACCCCAGCTCTGCCATCCCCACGTCACTCACACGAAACTATAACCGGCCGCTGCTGTGGGGGATTCTGACCCCCATCCACAAAATAAGCCCTCTGAGGGCAGGGACCGCGGTGTGCACAGCAGGTCCTCAAGTAATGTTGTTTTGTTATAACACTGACAAGAGAAAAAAAAAAAGATTCCTGGCCTGGCCACTGTCTGTGTGGAGTTGGCGCCTTCTCCCCTTGTCTGCGTGGGTTTTCTTGGGCCCTCCGCCCACATCCCAAAGCTGTGCGCCTGCGGAGAACTGGCGTGTCTAAGCTGTCCCCGTGCAAGGAGGGGAGGGGGCGTGTGTGAGCGCCCTGAGCTGCCGGGAGAGGCTCCGGCCACCTGAGATCCTCACCTGGAATAACTCAGTAAACAATTACATTGTAAGTTTTTATTAATCTTTCTTAAATGTATGTATAGCTCACATTAACTTCAACGTTTAATATTATAAGTGTTTTCATCTCTATTTAGAAGTTTGGTGGTGTTTTTGTGACTAGACACATGCTGTTGGAAGTTAACTTTTTTTTTTTTTTTTGAGACAAGGTCTCACTCTGTCACCCTGGCTAGAGTGCGGTGGTGTCATCGTAGCCCACAGCAACCTCAAACTCCTGGGCTCAAGTGATCCTCCTGCCTCAGCTTCACAGAGTGCTAGGATTATAAGCATGAGCCGCCATGCCTTAACTTTGGTTCATGTCAATTAGCCTACGGTAAAACTGGTTTTGTTATATACTGTTTCCCTTAAAGTTGCAGTTTCCAAGAATCTATTGATGATGATAAGAGGGGGACTTACTGTACTTCCTTTGTGTCCTCTAGAGCTGCAGTCCCCAACCCCCAGGCTGTGGCCTGGTAGCAGTCCACGGCCTGTTATGAACCAGGCCTCCATCACCGCCTGAGCTCTGACTGCCCCAGCCCCCTGGGCCTGTCCCTGGGAAAATTGTCTTCCATGAAACTGAGGCCCCAGGGCAATGCAGCAGGAAGTGAGTGGCAGGAGATTGAGCAAAGCTTCACCTGTACTTATAGCTGCTCCCCATTGCTTTCGTCACCATCTAAGCTCCGCCACCTTCCCAACCCATGCCCCCATCTGTGGAAAAATCATCTTCCATGAAACTCGTCCCTGGTGCCAAAAAGGTTGGGGACCGCTGCCCTAGAGTGACGTGCACAGTGCTATTCTGTAGCTGGTGCTCCCAAACACCCCTTGATTGGCAGTGAGGTCACCGCTGCTTTATACTTCCCTTTGATTTTCTCAGAGCCTATCCACACAGCCTCTCTCATTTAATCCTTACAACAACAACCTTGCAAGGCAGAAAAGGTATTATCATTATCCCATTTCTCAGAAGAGACAACCAAGGCAGCCAGAAGCAGAGCAACTTGCCCACAGTTGTGCCGTGACAGGGGCCGAGCTGGGATAGAAGCAGGGTCTTTGGCAGACCCCGGTCCCAGCCGTCAGAAACGCAGCAGGGCCATGCTGGCCTGGTTGCAGGCTGCCTAAAGGAGTGGGTGGGTGCAGAGGACTACACCAAGATAGGTCCACGGGGGGACTCACCTTCCCGCCGATCGTTGCGCAGGCACTTGACCTTGGGGATCCTGGTCAGGAGCAGACAGTCTTCGGCTGAGGGTGCAGAGAAGGAAGGCAAGCTCACTCCGACAGGGCATCTGACCAGGGGGCTGCCCAGGAGCTGTCCCATACTAGGCCCAGGAAAGGGCTGGGGTGGGAGGATGGAGGGGCTCGGTCATCGTCACTGGCCAAAGGATGGCCCTGCTCCCAGGCCAGACTGGAGAATGCCTGTACCTGTGGCGTTGCCTCACCCCACAGCGCACCAGCAATGACCCCCAGCCCAGCTCTTATCTACATATGGCAGTTGTTACAACCGAGGATGCTGCTGCTGCTGGTTGTTTTTTTTTGTTTGTTTTTTTCATGTTGTCTCACTGGTGTCCTATCCAAAGCAATACCAACCCCTTTTCCCTCTCCTTTGGCACCAAGGAACAGGGCCAGGGAGGGGTCCTAGAAAAGACCGAGGACTCCACTGGGGGGCAGAGAGGTCAGTCTGGGATGGCCAGGACAACAGCAAGAGTGCTTTCCTCAGCGTTCCGGGGAAACGAGGGGTGTGGAGGGTGCAAAACAGAAGGTGAACACTTACGATCTGAGCTGAAGTCATCCACTAAAATGATCTCCTGTATCAAGCTGGCGGGAGTTCGGTTCAGGACACTGGAGCAGCAGTGGGGATGGAAAGAGCCCAGATTTAGGGATCACCTCCCATGTACCCGTCCTGTGCTGTTGGGGCTCTCCCAATGCCCAGCTCTGGTGCCAACACACTGGCCATGGCAACTGCCTGCAAACTTCCTGGGCCCTGATTAGTGGCTGAGAGGCAGTATGCTCCTCAGAGGACCAAGCTGACCCTATTGCCTGGGCCCTTGGGCACTTGGGACCAGCCCCAGAGTGAGTGGGGGATTGCCCTAGTTGAGCTGTCAAGGTAGGAGCTTAGCTGCTCAAGCTGCCTGAGCCAAAACAAGCCCTGCCCAGGGACAATCCCAGCTGGACTGGAGCTGCCTGCCTGGAAGGCTGGTGAGGCTCCTTCCAGCCAAATAGGGCAGGTGAGGTGTTTTCAGGGAGACCCCTCTGCTCCCTCCTTTCTACCATCCCTCCTCTTCCTCTACTCCCTGGGAAAGAAAACCCAAGGTTCTTTATTCCCTGGAATACCACTGGGCACTCCTTTCCCAATCCCATTCTTGTCTAAGTTCATTGAGGAAATCAGGCATTGGGGGTTAAACTTGACCACAAGCCCAAACTTAGTAGGAGAACAGAAGGGGCAGCTCTCTCTGACTTGCTGGCAGGCACCAGCCAGGCTGCCATCTCCCCTCTGGAGGCCTGGTGTCCAGCCCTGCCTCCGCCCGTCCCGGTGCCTGCATTTCTGCCCGCATCCTGGCCCCTGACCTCCTGTTAGACTGGTGCATTTCTCTAACTGTCGGACTTCTGGGTCTTCCTGACCCTGTTCACCAGCCCCAGCTTCTCAAGAGGACAGACCCACCCTCCCAGTGCCTGCTGGTCTTCACGCTGTCTGGTCACGGCACCCAATCTCAGTCCCCCCTTGCTGCAGGTGCTGCAGATCACCGCGGCCGTGGGGGCAGCACCGCTGCGATGAGGGTGCCAGGGCCGGGCTTACCTCTTCACTGTGCGCAGGAGGGTGGAGCGGGCCTCGTTGTGGAAGGTGATGATGACACTGGTGGCCGGCAGGTCCAAGGAGTAGGACACGGATGGGCAACTGAGAAGGAGCAGGGAGGTCAGAGGCCTTCCTTGGGGCAGGCTTGAGGCTTTTCTGTGTCCAGTCTGCTGCCCCCCAGAATACCTCTGTGCAGCGGAGAAGGCAAGCCCCAAGCCAGGCCACAGGCTCCAGCCCCTCCACACCCACGCTCCAGCCCACACTGGCCTGGCACCCAGATGCCCCCCAGCCTGGGGTCCTCAGTGGGAAGGAGTGAGTGGGGGGCCTTCTGAGGCCTGGGGGCTCTTTACCCAAGACCTAGAGCCCCCGGAGCCCCTTATCCATTTAAGAGGGCGCCCCACTGTATACAGGCACTGCACCAGGCCCAGGACACAGCCCTGACCCAACAGACAGGACTCCCTGCCCAATGAGCAGGCCACAGGCACAAAATGCAGGCAAGGGAGAAAACTACCGCTTTTTTGTCTCCTGATACCCTGGAGCCTCTTGCTTCTCTTCCCCCAGCTCAGGAAGTTTGGGGGATCTGGAGAAGAACCACCCCCACACCTGCCAGGGAGCTTCCCGGTCTCACTGCCCAACAGAAGCAGGCCTGCCGCAGACTCCGGGTTGCAGAGCAGCCTCACTCCTCCTGGGGTCTGCGTCCCCCCCCCCTCCAAGGAAACTAGCCCCTGAGAAGACATTGAGGACATTTCCTGTCATCCTGCTCCCTCCTCAGCCATTGACAGGCAAATTTTTTAGTCCACTGGCTCCCCCTCCTCTAGAAAGAGAGCTAAAACAATCCATTCCTGCTAAGCTTCAGCCTTGTTTTTTGTGCAAACGCATTTATTCCTGCTCCCAGGCGGCTGGAAGGCGGCCTCGCTGCTGGTTTTCATAGCAATCTTCTTTATTACAATTGCTCTCTGACTATTCCAGCAGTGACTATTTTTTCATTATGGCATTCATTCCACCGACAGCAGCTACAGCCCAAATTCCCAGGCCCATTTCCTGCCCCACAGAGCAGACCGGGTCAGACAGGCAGGAGTCCCGCGAGCCTGGGACCCCCATGGGACAAATCCTGAGAGACTTTGCAATAATTCTCCTTGACAGGGGTGTGGCGTAGCAGTGGGGAGGGAAATTCTCTCCTGCTCCCTGAGAAGCCATGTTTTCCAAGGGCCTGTGGATTTAGAGGCAGGAATGAGCTTGGCTGGCTGCAGCGGGGTATGTTGGGAGAAGAAGATGCCTCCTGGGTGGCAGCCCCCAGTGCCTACATCCAGAGCCCCAGTTCTCTGTCCTTGTCCCCCAGCCTTGCTGGACCGGGAACTAGCCTGACAATTTGGAGTCCAGTAGAAGCTGCAGCCTGGAGGGCCCCAGGGAAGAGGGAGCTCACACCAGCACACTGGCTCCAGCACAGGAGACCTGCCCACCAAAGCCAGCACCACCTGTGTCCCCCCTACACACACACACACACACGCATACACACACACACACACACACTCATACACATCACACACGCACAGATGCATGCATGCACACATATGCATGCACATACACATACATACCCATGTGCACATGCACACACACGCACACACATGCATACTCACATGCATGTGAGCACACACACCCTATCCACCTCAGCCTTCTAAGAGGGCCTGGCAGCAGCATATGGCACCTCACCAACCCGTCACTTGCCTTGGATGTAAAGAGTCTCATTTTATTTATTTATGTTTTGAGACAGAGTCTCTCTTGGTTGCCTGGCTAGAGTGCCGTGGCGTCAGCCTAGCTCACAGCAGCCTCAAACTCCTGGGCTCAAGCAATCCTCCTGCCTCAGCCTCCCAAGTAGCTGGGACTACAGGCATGCGCCATCATGCCCAGGTCATTTTTTTCTATATATTTTTAGTTGGCCAATTAATTTCTTTCTATTCTTAGTAGAGACAGGGTCTTGCTCTTGCTCAAGGTGGTTTTGAACTCCTGACCTTGAGTTATCCTCCCGCCTCGGCCTCCCAGAGTGCTAGGATTACAGGTGTTAGCCATTGCGCCCGGCCCAAGAGTCTCATTTTAAATGTACACAGCCCCAAGGCAAGTCCCCTTTTAAGTTTCTCAGGGAACACCTGAGAAGGTTCAGAGATCATCCAGGCCAAGCCCTCAACCCACAGATTTGGGTCGGCAGGTCCTCTGGACCTGGGGACCAGGCAGGTCATGGCTGGGGCTGCCCAGGAAGGGTCCCCAGGAAGAGCCTCGCAGACATAACCTCGTCTGCAGTGCGGGCAGACATGAGGGGACAAGGGCCCAGGACCAACTGAGAAGGAGCTTCTGAGGCCAGAAAATGGCCAACCTTTCTTTCTCCACGGGCACAGAGGAGGCCATACCTGTAATGGCGGGTGTCTCGGATGGGCCGGTCCGGGCTCAGCTTGTCGCTCTCCAGCTGGTTGAAGGCGTGCTGCCTGTAGGGGTCCTCTCCGGCCTTCAGCTGCTTGGCTGACAGGTATGTCTTCTCGTCAAAGCCTTTCGAGGGTGTTCCTGTCACCTGAGACAAAGGTCAGCATCAGAGCGCCCACAGGCAGGAGGGGTCCACCACGTGGTAAGCGCTTAGCACACACCAGGTGGGAGCCAGCGCATTATGTCATTTCTGCCTCACCCAGCTCTGTGAGGAGGGGATCCTTACCACCCCCATGGTACAGATGGGGAAACTGAGGCTCAAGAAGCTTTAAAAAAAGTATCCAAGGTCAGAGCTAATAAGTCTCAAGGTCTGGATTCAAACTGGTCATTTTGACTCTGAAGCCCATACTCTTGGTTTTTTTTTTTCGGATGGGCCGGTCCGGGCTCAGCTTGTTCACTCTGTTGCCGGGGGCTAGAGCACTGTGGCGTCAGCCTAGCTCACAGCAACCTCAAACTGCTGGGCTCAAGTGATCATCCTGCCTCAGACTCCCAAGTAGCTGAGACTATAGGCATGCGCCACCATGCCCGGCTAATTTTTTCTATATATTTTTAGTTGGCCAATTAATTTCTTTCTTTCTGTTTTTAGTAGAGATGGGGTCTCGCTCTTGCTCAGGCTGGTCTCAAACTCCTGAGCTTGAACCATCTGCCCACCTCGGCCTCCTAGAGTGCTAGGATTATAGGCGTGAGCCACCGCGCCCGGCCAAGAAGCCTACACTCTTAACTGATGTTCTTTGCTGGATATGGGGAGGGTGAGTCCTGGAGCGCACCAGACACCTGCAGACAAGGTGTCCTGAGGGAACAACAAACTGGCACCTGCAAATTGGCACCCGTCTCCTAGAGACAGACTTGGGCCTAGCACTGGGCTAGGCACATAGGAGGTGCCCAATCAGTCACACCCCAGGCTTGGACAAGCTGCTACAGAGAGAAATGCCTGTAAGGACAGCGAGCCCTCGAGGGCTGCTGCCAGAGCTGCCGGAACTCAAATGCACAGGCGGCGACGCACCTTCTCCAGGACTTCCGCATGCTGGTGAAATGGCCCCACGTCAGATCCACTGGGCCACAGGCACTACGTGCTAGGGAGAGATGGCTGACAGAATCTGTGGCCCAGCCTCCCTCCTCCTTGGCCACACCCTACCCTGTGATCCCAGAGTCCCCAGCAAGAGACACCGGGGAAGGACACATCTGAGATGAATGGATGGATGCATCCTGACATCTCATTATTTGAACCAAACTGCTGGCCGGATGCTCCCCAGAGTGCCATGAAATAGCATCAACTGTGAGTGCATCCCAGCTCCGACCCTCCCACCAGCCAGCAGCCCCAGGCTGAGCTGTGGCCCTCCAGAGGCAGCAAGAAGGCTGGTGGCAACTGCCCACTCACTGCATCCTTGCATGAGGACTTTGTCACGGGCCTAATCCTAGAGAATGGTCCCAGCAGGCAGCAGGCCTGAGAGAGAGCAGACTGCTCTGGGTGCTGACACTGGGAACATCCCCCAGCAGCTCAGGGCCTCATGTTGCCCGAGAGCCTAACCCCCAACCTCACTGGACAGGAATGCTGGGCTCCGGGGAGTTCTCATGTCCCGAACTGCTGCCACTCTGTAGTGCTGTCACCTTCTCAGGTTGCCTCCTGTCTTAGGAGCCAGTTGGAAGCTCCGAGGGCAGAGCAGTGAGGGAGATCTCCTTGCGTCCACTGGGCCTGCCCCACGCTAGACACACACGCCCAGGATGGTGGCAGGCTGTGGCTGCTGCACCGGAATATTCTGAGGTGGTGCCATGCAAGGAACTGAACAGATGTGGCAGAGCCCACCATGGGCTCAAAATGCATTTCAGGAAAGATAGGAGAGAGGGAAGGAAGGAGGGAGAGAGGGACAGAAGGAATGTTCTGGCTTGAGTCTTAGATTGCTAGAAGGATCCAAGCTGTCCAACTCCAAGAGTGAGAATAAAAGGGAGAGTGATCCTTTGTGTCCTTTCCGCCTGGGAAAATAATGGGTGCTAATGCCACCCCCCGTCCCCATCTTCCCCCCAGCTCTGGGTCAGAGCAATGGAAAGCAGCCTCCAGTTGATGGTTAAGGAGCTAAAATTAAAGAAAAGCTACAGAGGAATGATTTGTTGAAGCTCCCAAAGGGAGAGTAGTGGTACTTCATTATCCTACAAGTGAACTGTGGGAAATAACCATGTTTATTTATTTAGGACTTATGGCCACTCTGTGGGCTCAGGAAACCGGAGTCCTCACCCCACACTCGCTCACTGCTCTGTAAACATTGATCGAGAGCCACCCATCTTCCAGCTCTGGGGCGCCCTTCTGCGAGTTCCGAGGATCACCTGAGCACTCATTTATTTGTGTACGAATGCTCAAATTCAATCATTTGCTCAGCAAAGCCTTGCTGAGCAAAAGAATGAATGAATTCCCACGTGCCAGGAAGTCAAGTCCTGTTTCTGAGACTGTTCCCCACCCCCAGCCTGCTGTCTGCCCCACCTCACTCAAAACTGCCTCAGGACCACAGAGAATGTTCTAGAAGAATGCTCAGGCCAGGTCTCTCTGGAGAAGTTTCTCTGAAGGCCTCGAAACTGAGGTAGACATCCTCAAAGATGCCATCAGAAGAAGTCTGGTGTTCTCTCCCACAAACCCATAGCTTCTGAGTAGCCCAACCTCCTCTATGTGGTACCAGGGTCTGAGGTTCCACTCTTCACCTGGGAGGCCACTTATGGAGAAGGTTGCCATGGAAACACCAGGCTCACTGTCTCCCAAAGGTCTTAGCCCTGCTTTCAGAGTGGCCCAGTAGTCCCTCAGGGTTAGGGCTGAAACATTAGCTGGCCCAGAGCCAGCTGAGTGGAGGGAACAGAGACAGGGTAGGTGGTGGCTCACGGCAATTCCCTGACCTCTGCAGGGATGTCACTTCCTCCCTCCTCGGCCCCTCCCTGGCCTTGCTCCAGTCACCACCCAAAGCTGTTCTACCTCTGATATCTAGTTCCAGGTCATGCCCAGACCCTAATTCACTTCCTCCCAGCTCTCGAACCCCTTTTACCTTTAGCAAGGTAAAAGGTCTGGAAACTTCCAGGCCTTTGAATATTCTGTGGGCACCTCTAACTCAGTATCTCCAAACAAATCCCCCACTTATCCCAAAGCTGCTGCTCCTCCTGCGTTCCTTGTTGCAGAGGTGGGCGGTTCTATCACTGTCCTCCAAGCCACAAATTCAGGGTCATCCTTGATGCCCTCCCACGCTCCACGGCTTGATGAGACCTCTCCCTGCGCATGCACAGGTGGCGTTCCAGGGCACACCACTGGTATTGGCTCCAGAAATATTTATTGAAAACCTACTATGCACAGACACTGTGCAAGAGGCTGGGAGGAATCCGGAAATAATCAAAAGGCAGTGTGGCCTCTAGAAGAGGAATTTAAGAATCTGGCCCCTTTCCTGCCCCATCCCATGCCAGGCACGGCCATGGAGGATCATGAAGAAGAAACCTCCCACCCCAACCTTATGGTGCGGGCAGCTGGAGAACTGACCATGGAACCTTGGCCCCTGCTGGAGCAGGAGCCTGCAGATGTCACATGCACCACGGGCCTGTGAGTAGTGAATGCTGTTTCCCTCCTCCCCTCTTCTAAAGGGGAATTGTACTGCCTCTGACTGTTTTCCCATCCACGCTGCTTACTAAGCATGTCAGCAAGGGATTTAATGCATCATTTGGCACTTGGCTGCAGGACCACGAAGCGCTACATCTGAACCAGCGGGAGAGACTAGAGATGATCCCGTGCTTGGAGCCACTGGATGGGACTGGCATTGCTGGAGGCAGGTAAGGGTGCTTTGGGCTTTGGAATCTTTTGTCAGGCTGAGGCACGGGTCACATGGCACTGACATTTGTGCTTTGCTTCTTTCTTTCCACTAGTTGGCGAGCTCCTTATCTTGGCGCTCCCTGCAGCTGGCACACAGTACTCAACAGGTGTTTGCTGAATAAAGGAAAAGATGAATGAAGGAATACCTAAATACTGTCCCTGAGCTCAAATGACCTGTAATCAACTGGAGAGAAAACAACAGCGAACAACTGTGACCCTCTGACCCATCACGTGACCTGACCACCAGTGCCCCCTCTCCCACAGAACACAGCCCCTGGAGCTCACAGTGGCCCCAGATGCTCCCTGAGCAGGTGCCCTGTCACTGCGGCGAGCTCGGCTTGTGTTGCTGCCCCTTACTCGCCCAGCTGCAGCCACACTGTTCCTTCAGCCCCCCAGCCACCCTTCCTCCTAGCCCTCTTGTTCCTCTGCTTTCTTTCCAGAAGGCTCTTCCCCCAGATATCGGCGTGGCTCCCTCCTTCGCCTCCTGCAGGGCCCTGCTCAATCCTCCTGCACTGCTGTACTTCTCCCTACGGCACTCACTGCCACCTGATAGTCTACATGTACTTTACTTACTTATTTTATCTTTTTGGCTGCTTCTTCCCACAATAACATAAGCTTCACCAGGGTAGAGATTGTTTTGTCTGATGCTGAATCTCAAAGCCCAGAGCTGTAGGCACTCACAAACAATAGCTAATGAATAAATGCATGACATCGAGCCTTTCCTCTCTTGCCTCCTTGGCCAAACACAATGTCTGACTGAGGTGGATGGAGCAGGTGACAGGGTAGTTTTTGCCTGCCTTAGGGATTTTCTTGCCCACTCACAAGCTCCGGGCAGGGCTGCCATTCATTGTCCCCTTGTCCCACCAACACCCGGAGCACTACCACTGGGTGAGCACAAGACCTAGGCCAGGCCAATCTCATTACTACACTCCTAGACACAGTGATTGGTTCAGGAATGGTCATTTGATTTGATCTGGGCCAATCAGAATCTTCCCTGAGACTTTTGTATACGATGAACACTTTACACTTTTCTAGACATCAACACAGCTAAGCTTGGGAAATGAGATTCTTTTTGTCTATTACATGAAGAAATCTTGTATGAAAAGTTAAACCAAGAAGAAACAATCAGAGCCAAGAGAAGGAAAGAAAGAGTTCTAACAGTATTTTATGAGTCCCTTGAGTCAGTCATAGCCATCTACTTACCTACTCTTTTTTTTCTTAAACTAGTTTGAGTTGGGTGTCCCTTTCTAATAACA